TAGGGACAGCCCGGGACAGCCCACGACCAACAGCCCCCCAGTCTCGGCGATGTGGGCTGGAGGGCAGGGACAGAGATGCCTGTGTGGTGGGCACCCCGATGTGGTGGAGGGCAGGAGGTGGGTGGCAGAGGTGTCCCAGGGATGGGGACCTTTGTGGAGGTGGGTGGCAGAGGTATCCCGGGGATGAGGACCCTTGGGAATGGAGGACAGGAGGAGGGTGGCAGATGTGTCCCGAGGATGAGAACCCTTTTGGGGGGATGGAGGGGAACAGGACGGTGCTGCAGAACCTCTGGAGGGTTTGGGAGAATCTCAGGCGGGGGGTTCAATTTTTGAGTAGAGAAAGCACAAAACACCTATTCTCACCCCATTTCTGGCTTTGGCGAAGCCTGCCCCGCAGCCTGGGCTGTTCTGCCGGGCCGGGCGGAGGGCAGTGCCGAGCTCGGGGACGGGGGTGCCGGCGGCTCACGGTGCTGTGCCCCGCAGGCTGAGCCCCAAGCGCCGGCAGGATGGTCCCAAAGGCAGCAGCGCTCGCTCCAGCCGCAGCCCGTCCTCGCCCTCGCCCCAGCGCTCGGCCTCGCCGCACCAGAACGGGCACAAGGGCAGCGCCCAGAACGGCCGCCACAGCCACGGCGCCCCGCTCCCGGAGCCCTCGGATGTACGTAGGCTTTTCTTGGATCACTCTTCGCTTCCCTCCCCTCCTCCCTCCACAGGACTGCCCCCCTGCTCTCCTCTCCGCTCCTTCCCCACTCGCTCGGCTCCCCGCCCTGCCCGGCCGGGGCACACGGGGGAGATGCACTCACCAACTCTGCACTGGGTGCACGGTCTCCCTGGGGGAGCCAGCCCGTCATCTCGGGGCAAGGATCAGGGCAGCCAACAAATCATCCCTCCCCCAAAGCCGCACATTGCCCTGCAGATGTCACCCCCGAGACGATGGCTTGGCAGGCCAGCGACACTGCCAGGGTCACCACTGGGCTCAGCACCTACCTGAGATTGAGCCCAGACAGCCAAGAAATGGGTACAGCTGGAAAATTCGTTTCCCCACCAGCCCAAACCCTCCCCAGTGCCAAGGGGCTGACACCAGTGCTCAGGACTCCAACACCCAGTCTGGCCAGGGTAGTGTTCGGAGGGGATTTGGTGCTGGATGCTCAGATTTTAGGGTCCCCATGGCAGGTGACATTGGAGCTAAGTGTCCCTGGCTCTGCCTCATTGTCCTGGGATGTCCCAATGAAACCCAGGGGTCTACTCCAGTGCTGAGTGGTCTAAACTCTAATCCTGTGGGACAGAGGGCCAGTCCCAGTTTAACCAGTGCCAGGATGGCAAGGAGCCTGCTTTGGCTAACAGGGACTGGAGGCAGAGCTGACTGAAGGCAGTGTGCTGCATGACTCCACTACTGGGGGGCACACAGGTCCCCACTCACCTCAGGGAACTTCATTCCCATGGTGAGGTGCTGTGGGGACACTGCCAGGCTGGCAGCACCCTGTGCTGACACCCCAACACCTGCAGGGCCAGGGGCACCCCGGAAAATGGGGC